AATGGGGCCTGTTGGGGGGTAACGGGGCTTGTTTGGGGGGCAATGGGGCCTGTTGGGGGGTAACGGGGCCTGTTTGGGGGGTAACGGGGCCTGTTGGGGTGAAATGGGCTTCGTTGGGGGATAAATGAGGCCTTAGAGGGGGAAATGTGGGGTTTTCTGAGGTAATGATGGGCTTTTGGGGCAAAAGTGGGCTTTTCTGAGGCAAAAGTGGGCTTTTCTGGGTAACAACAGGGTTTTCTGAGTTAGTTTTGGGGTTCCTTGTGGTAAAAGTGGAACTTTTTGAGGCAGTAACAGGCTTTTCTGGGGTAAAACTGCCCTTTTGTGAGGTAATAATGGGCTTTTCTGAGGTAAAAGTGCATTTTCCTGTGGTAATAGAGTATTTTTTGAGGTAATCGTGCGTTTCACAACTCGTTTTTTGGTAGCAATGTTTATTTTTTTGCTAATAAGGTGATTTTTTTGGGTGATAACGTCTGGATTTTGGTAACGTGGTTTATTTAGGTAACACCATCTGTTTTTTAAGCCATAATCACCCCTTTTGGGTACCATCTGTGTCTTTTTGTTAACAGTATGTACGTTTTCTATTAGAAAAGTGTGAATTTTGGGTAATTAGACAAGGGTAAGAAGGTTGATTTTTGGTAAAAACCCTGTTTTTTCCATCATTTATTGTCAGGGCAGAAAAATCTGTAGTTGTAGGGTGGCAATTCCTCATTTTAGGGTGGTCAGGTCTAATTTTAGGGCAGTGATGGCTGATTGTAGAGCAACAATACCCATTTCTGGTTGATTTTTGGGGTAACAACTCCTGGTTTCTTGGCGCTCGCGGGTCGTTCTAGGTTAAAAACGCCGCTAAAAACCGCGCAGTTCTGGGTAGAAACACCAGCTTTTTGGGTGCCTTTCACCTCGCGGCTGCCCGGCGAGCAGCTCCCTGACCCTTTTCTCCCTCTTTTTCACCCCAAAAACCAGATCAGGAACATCCTGAAGCAGGGGATTGAGACCCCCGAGGACCAGAACGACCTGCGGAAGATGCAGCTGCGGGAGCTGGCGCGGCTGAACGGGACCCTGCGCGAGGACGACAACCGGTGGGGGGAACAACCCCCCTTCCCCTCTTCTCACCCCAAAACCCCC